ATTCACCTTTGATCAGATTCGAGATCTCGTTCTTGGTGAGGATGTCAGAAGAAAGAGTTCGGGGGAGTCATCTGGTGAATTGCTTCATGTTGGTAGAGGCAGAAAAAATAACAGAGGTAGTGGGAGCAGGAACAGACAAAGGAGTCAGTCGAAGACTCGTGACAGCTCAGGTGTAACGTGCTGGAAATGCAAGGAGGTGGGGCATTATAGGAATCAATGCCCGAATGACAAGAAAGTGAACATTGCTGAAGGCTCCGCGAGTGATGAAGAGGTCCTTCTTACTTGTTGTGCGGAGAGCAATGTGGATTCCTGGGTCATGGATTCTGGTGCTTCATTTCATGCTACCCACAGCGATGAAGTATTACAGAATCTGGTTGTTAGAGACTTTGGAAAGGTACGACTAGCAGACGATAGAGCTCTTGAGGTGACGGGCATGGGTGACATGGTGTTGAAGACCTCAGTCGGTCTTTGGACTTTGAAGGATGTCAGAGTGGTTCCAGCCTTGAAGAAAAGTTTGATTTCTGTCAGGCAGTTGGACGAACAGGGACACGAGGTGAAGTTCAGAGATGGACAGTGGAAGGTCGTGAAGGGGAATCTTGTCATGGCCCGTGGAAAGAAAAGAGGTTCGCTGTATATGGTCGAGTTACCATCTGAGGGAGTGACCGTCCCAGTTCAGAAGAGAAACAAAGTCCGGTTCACAGAGTCTCGTGGGCAGAATAAGGTTGTCTGTGCAAGAGAGAAACCTAGAGCCACAGGTCAGACTCAGGATGAACGAGCGAGGAAAGGTTCAAGGGGGCAGTCAGAGGTATGTGTGGCAGTGGGAGCTCAAGAGGCGCTTCAGCCAAGTTGCCTAAAAGACAGTGGGTCAGGAGAACCAGTATTCCAGCTGTTGGAACATCTCCAGAAAATTTCTTGCTGAGTACGGAGAGTGTTTGTTCTCAAGATGTTCCAGGATCCGGCGGTGTGCATCTGCAGTGGGAGCCGGTAGGGACCGAGGACGAGTCAGGGGCAGATTTTGTCATGACTGATGTGTTGGAGCTTGGGAGAGCTTCAACGGGCTTTTCAGTTGTCTGATGATAGGGCCGCTGCAACAGGAGAGCTGAGGAAAGATTACTCGATGTACAGGCAATCGTGGTGGATGGCAGTTGATGACTATCAAGCCTCCAAGTGGGAGAATGTTGGGTTTGTGGAGGCTTGGGCTTGACTTTTGGCCCGACCCATGTTACGAAACCCTAGATGCACTCTTCCTATATATATATTGCATACTTGTACTTGTAATTGACACCACAAGTGAATAAGAAATTCCTCCTGTTGCAGCCGTGGATTAGGGAAATCGAACCACGTTAAATTCTTGTGTGTTGTTTGTGTTCCGTTTTCTCTCGTTTCTCGCAGATATTTGTGTGCACACAACACCCGTCATGGGATAAATCAAGGTGACCAAGTCCGCGGGAGGAATGGGACACGTGGCCCACATCATCGAATTGTGGACGAGATGGGAAGAGAACGAGACTGGAAAAAGGGGGAACCACAACCCCATGATCTCAATTATCCTTTCCATTTTGTATAGTTTTAATTACAATATTAGATCAAGGTGACCAAATCCTTTCCATTTTGTATAATTTTAATTACAATATTAGAAATAATATAAAAAGGGAGAGAACCCTCCATTGTAAAGCATGAAGTAATTGACTACTCAACTAAAGAATATTATTGAGAGATTATATCTTTCTGATCCATATTACGTTCTTGGTCTGCCATCTGATCGGGTTAATCTCATCAACGTCAAACTTAACAAGAAACTAAATCAAGGGTTAAACTAGTCGGATCAATTGAACTGAACCAACAATATGAGCCAAAAAACAACAACATAGTTTCCTAATATTTCCTTCATCCATGGAGAGGGTGTTTGGAATTTTTTAGAAGAATGATTAAAATAATTGTAAAACAAAAATTTGTACAATACTTAAATAAGGAGGCATACATTATTTGAGATGGACCCAAAAAAATAATAATCTAAAACAAATATTTCTCTCCATGTCCCACTTTTCCTAATTTGGCAAAGCTTCATTTATAGTATTATTATCTCATTAGGATGATGAGATACTTCCTAGGTTTTAAAATAATTGTCTATTATAACTTTTTGCATACATTACAAGTTGAATAAATATAGACATGCAGACGTTATGTCGTCTATGATCATTTCAACAGTAATGTATTTAGAAGCTATAATCGACACTTATTTAGATTAGAAAACGGGCCGGGGCGCTAGTTGGTATGTTTGCGAACGGCGGCTTTGGTTTCATCGGCCTTGTTCACGACGTCGTCTTTGATCTTGTGGGTTGTGTCCTTAACGGCATCCCACGCATCTTGCGCCGTCTGTTTGGCCTTTCCGGCCAGATCGTTCGCCGCCTCCGACAACTTCTCCCCCATTGCTTTTGCCTTGTGCACGCCCTATATATTTTCAACAACAAAATGCCAAACACATCCTTAAATGACACTTTGATGGTTCACCATGACATAAAATGCTAGTGCGATTCAAAAACATTACATGACATTTTGTGCTAGTGCACACTTGTGCCGTACGACTTGAGGTACGAGTAGCCTTATATTATTACAATACTGACCTCATCTGCGACGGAGGAAGCGTCGTGTTTGATTTGGTGGGCGGCTTTGTTGGCGGCGTCGGCTCCTTTCGACGCGGCGGACTTTGCCTCGTCGTAAGCGCCGGATTTGCTTCCGTAGTAGCGCTTGTTGTAACTGGGAGGAGCGACGAGGAACGACGATGGCCGCCTGGCGGCCACCCCCCTCCGGCTGCCGCCTACCCTCACGGTGGCTCTGCACATTTGCAGTTTGCACAGACTTGCCGTTAATCCCATACTCGCCATTTCTCAGCTTTGTTAATCAGCTTCGGATCTTTAATTGAAATCTTATTATTATTATTAATTAATATATTAATTTATAAATGATTTCGCATTTATTGATTAATGCAGACGGGGATTTATGTAGCAGATATAATGGGGCAGGGGAAACTGTTTTTTCTCGAATTTGTGGAAGAGAAAATTAAGGTTTTTATGAGTTTTTTGTTTTTCACTTTTCATTTGATGCGAAGCAGAGGTAACCCATGTTTTGAGGTTGATTAGTTCGTTAATTTTGCATGTTTTTACGGTGTAGTTTTTTTACGGTAATATTTCAAAAAATTGTTATCTGGTACCCTCTATTTTGTGGTAAGACTGTCAGGTACCCCTAATTTTAAAATATACTCTCAGGTACCTCAAATTATAAAAAAAAAATACTAAGAGGTGATTTTCCATCCATTCTCCATCCATCCCTTCTTTCTCCGTTAAGTGTACCACCATCATCATCATCCATCATCATCATCATCAATCATCATCATCATCATTCCAGCACCATCATCCCATTTCTTCGTACATCCTCCTCCTCTTCTTTTATTTTTCTTTCTTCTTCTTCTTCTTTCTTCTTCTTCTCCTCCTCCTCCCCCCTTTCAACTTTCGATCTTGACATCCCCCCACACTCACCCTTATTTCTTCTTCTTCTCCTTCTATTATTATTATTATTATTATTATTATTATTATTATTTTATTATTATTATTATTATTATTGATATTATTATTATTATATTATTTAGTTGTTGGGCAAGGTTTCCATGACATTGCCCGGCAATGTCATGGGATGACCGGGGCACTCCGGTGTCCCGTTCGTAAAATTGACAGTTCCTACCCCACCTAACACCCCGGTAAAACCCCCCACCCTGCCCCGACCCAAACACACCCCCCACCCCCTTCAATTGCACCCCACAATTGATTTTGACTTTGGAGTCAAATTTTGACGTCAAAGTCAAAATCAATTTGTGGGATGCAATTGAAGGGGGTGGGGGGTGTTCGGGTCGGGGCGGGGTGGGGGGATTTTACCGAAGGGGGTTAGGGGTAGGAACCGTACGTCAATTTTACGAACGGGACACTGGGGTAGTAATTTTTGTTTTTCTACTATATTTTTAACAAAAAAACACTAAAGCTCCCACCAAAAAATTGTATTCTCCATTAATCTTTCACAATCTCCATTAATGTAAAAAAACAAAAAATTACTGTTTGGAACCCCTAATTTTGTTCTTAGAACTGTCAGGCACCTTCATTTTTATAGTGAAACTATTAATTAATTTTTAATAATATTAATATTAATGAATAATAATAATAGAAGAAGAAGAAAATATTACTTCATAATAATAAATAGTAGAGGTAGAAGAAAATTATACTTTGCAGTAAATAATAATAATTAGTTTTAATATTAAAAAATTATTAATATTAGTTTTTAATAGTAACAATAATAATTTAGAAGAAGAAAATAATACTTTGTAATAAATAATAATAATACTTTGTAAATAATAAGAAAGAAGAAGAAGAAAAAGAAGAAGAAAAATAAAAAAAAGAAGAGGAGGATATACGAAGAAGATGGGATGTTGGTGGGGGAATGATGATGATGATGATTGATGATGATGATGATGGATGATGATGATGGTGGTACACTTAAAATCACCTCTTGGTATATTTTTTTATAATTTGGGGTACCTGAGAGTATATTTTAAAAATTAGAGGTACCTGGCAGTTCTTACCACATAATAGAGGGTACCTGGCAGCAATTTTTTGGTAATTTTTTGGTTAGTGATTTGGTAGTTCTAAGTTCCACGTTAATATATACTCTCTCGGGTAAATTTCACAGATGGTACCTGAACTTTAGCTGGAATTTCGAAGTAGTACCTGAACTTCAAATCCTTTCACAAAAATCCCTGAACTTACACAATCCTTTCACTAATGAGCCATTAGCCCGTTTCTAGGTTAACTTCCGGTCATTAGGGCCAAATTCGAATTTTATATATTTTAAAATTTTCAATTTGACCTCATTTCTTCTTTTCTTTTCTTCCACGCCCCACCGCCGCCGCCCGTCGGTCAAAGTCGCCGGAAAATGAACTTTTTCCGATTCCGGCGGGACCAATGTCATTCTCTTCGTCTTGAGACGAGGATCAATAATATCCAAACCATTTTGTCTAATTTGGCCTGTAACTTCTCGAATCTGAATTTTTCTACGCGAAAAACCCTAAAATTCGAAATTGGATCCAAAATTGGGGGTTTTGCAAATCTTCATCAAATCTTGCAATTGAGGGGTCCTTGGAGGTCGCCCGGATGCCACGACCGCATTGGAGTTGGTGCCCGCCGTCAATTTTGCCGGATTTAGCCGGAAAACGCTCCGACCCGCCGGAAACCGCCAATTGCAAGATTTGATGAAGATTTGCAAAACTCCCAATTTTGGATCCAATTTCGAATTTTAGGGTTTTTTCGAGTAGAAAAATTCA